CATGCGAACGTTCGCCTCGAGCGTCAGCGAAAAGAATTCCCGCGACGTCGCGACGTCTGTTGACCTCCCGAGGATTATCGTGCACGACACAAATATTGGCGGAATGCGTGAAAATAGATCGTGCGTCAGGACGACGCATGTCGACTATGCGCACGTTTTCGCACACTCGGCGAAAACGAAATTAACATGCAGATATATCCAATATCTCCGATACATCCAATATCGTTATTCCTAAGGCCAGAGGAGGGTTATCCACGTTTCGTTTTTATCATTCGCTCATTCGCTTCGTGTCTTAGCATGAAGAGAACTTGCGCAACTCACAATTGGATTGTGAATGAAACATCGTAATTTCGCGCGGCAATTTTAACGTCTTATTGTTAGACACATGCCATTTCGACAATCTCATTGCCATTTGATTCTCGTGATGCCATACACCACGCGCACACAATCACATTAAAATATAGTGATATGGAATATACAGATTCATATATACTTTCCTCGAATTGAATTGACTTTATTAAAATTGACATAGATTAGTTGCAATATAAAAAACCTGTACGGAGATTTATAATATAGAAAAAAATTAGTCTTAGCCCGGTAGTCCGTTCTTAGATTTGAGATGATTTAAGTAAGCTTATATGACTGTCTTATCGATTGAAATGTAATTTTAAAATGATCTTAAGAACTGACTATGAATTCTGCCGTTAAATCAAGGTAGATATTCTCATATATAAGCAAGAATATTATAATCTTCATATAGAAAATTTTAATCTTGAGCAAAAGCAATCAATACGAATTCAATCAAGTCAGGACTAAAATTTTTAAAAAGATTATGTTTTGATTTGAGATTAATTTTTTTCTATGTGGAAATTGACGTATTATATAAAAAATATAAGAATATGTGTGAATGACATCGAATTGCATATTTCGTTGATAAGTGACGAATGATTGACTTTTTTTTTTTAGACACTTTCTTTCCTTCTTCGTATTAGCAACGTAAGGAAACGATAAGTTTGCGCTTTACAGTCGAGTAACGCTGTTATCGGCGCGGCTGAGATAAGAGATAACGGCGTCGGGTCTATCTTCTTGGTCAGTTCTACTTTTCAAATTCGAGGAGCTTGTCGTCCTCGCGCGTGCAGACGAGTTTTACAGTTACACCGTCGTAAATATAACAGCGACAGTGCGGAATCGCGGAGAATACGCGGCGCGAGGACGTGATATCGTAGATTTTCGCCGCAACAGGTGGCTGACGTTTACTTGGACGGAGACGCGGTCGCAGCCCTGGAGATTATCGCGCCGGTGACAGTGATTCAGCAGTGATTAATCGCAAATGGAAGTTCGTTTGTTTGTTGCTCGGCGCGAGTCTTAATGACGTGCTATTAGGACGTTTGCGTCCGCCGGACGTCGGTCCCGCACGACAAGGCGTGTACGCGTAGAAGAAAAAGCAACCTCGGGTGTTCCTCGCATCCTGGTGCGAAGCACTGTATATCGCGAAGTAACGATGTCGTTTATCGGGGTGAAGAAAAAGAAGAAGAGATCGATTATATGTAAATGCGTTCCATTGACCAAAGTGACCAGCTTTAGATACCTCCGGACTTGCGTGACGCCGTGTGTGGTATGTTTTTCGCGAAAAATTTCTGTTGCTGTAAGCTTCGAATAAGTAGAACATTTATAGAAAATATATAAAAATAATCAATATCAAATTAATAATTTTCAAACAAAATATATCTTAAATGTCGGTTCAGAATTAACATTTTAATTTAATGCCAGTTTCTTTATATTGTTGCATAGTTTTTCTATCTTGTAACAACAATGTTGTTAAAAATTACAAAATATTAGCACTGGATTAATACATTGGTTATATGTGTCATACATTAAAGTACTGGCAACAATCTTGTAGATTATTTTATCTTTTTTTTTTTAGTATTTGCTCTATAGGAATGGAGAGCATAAGCTTCTGTCAAGCACAATTCTGTGCATATTTAACTTTTTAATTTATATTGATTCTTTTATTAATTTATATTTGATTCTTACAGAGGAAAATTGCGTATTACGTTATTATCAATAAGAATAGCATATTTAAGAATAGCATATTTTGTTTTGATATTATTTGATTTGACTAATTAATTATTTTTATATTTTATATGTATTTAATTTTATATCTATAGTAACTAAAAAAATTTTTGTAATTAGTAGTTATTTTTGCTCCTTATAATTGATTTCAAAAAGTATTCATAATCAAAAGTTTTTGCGATCCGTTAAGAAAAATATTACAAATATTTTTTTTTTTTTATAAAAATCGATTTGATATTCAAAATAGTAAGACAAGAAATATGTTCCCTTTAAGTCTCAATAGTTTGCTGCTAGTATCGTATACGCGAAATACATCCTTAACTCGGAATATGGACCCTTTTAGCGCAAGGTCGAGCTACTCGAAGGGGCCTTCGATTTACTCGCGATTCAATGTCGCAACGCGACTCGCGGTTGCACCCTGCACGTTGGAAGTGGGTCACTAACACGTCCGTTAGAAGCTCGATCGAATACCCTTGGACGTTTTCCATTGGCGAACCGATCGTATCGCCACGCGAATTGACACCTACCGACATCCGATTCAGCACAATGCCGATGATGCCATTTTCGATGTCTGGCGCTCGACGCGAGAGACCGCGAGAAACCGATACTTTCTCCCGCGCGCGTTGTTTGCCCATCGTCTACTACGTATACGTGTCTCGCTGTGAGATTCTCACAGTGGGCTACAGCGGTGCACGTCCATATCCGCGAGACGATTTCCGGTTGAAAGGATGATATATTCCGCGATGCCTCCCCTCGGCTCTCGATCTTCCGATCGTCAATATTTACGGTGCAATTTCCGCCCGGTGTTATCTCCAACCTGGCAGCGAACGCAGCTAACGCGAGAGATCACGATTGTTATTATTATTATTACGGAGATTAACGCGGACTCGCGCGCGTAATGCCGAAAGATTATATACAGGTCGGTGCGCAGAAAGCGAGCATACGGTACGATGTCGATCATTAATTGATACGAATCTTGGCGCACGGGAGGACGAGAGAAAAATGATTAAATACAGATGTAGCGCTTCGCGCTCACTCGTGTCTCGGTATCATATAAAAGTGGAAATTATCGCGGAACGCCGCAGAAGGAGAACTCCCGTTTTAATTAGAAAGAGAGAGAGAGAGGTAATTAGAGTATGATTAATCGTCCGACGAACTGTACACCGCGCGTGGTTTTACCCAGGCCCGAATCGCGAATGTTCAGTCAGTAATCGCAGGATTGAACTTTGTGTCTGTTTCAGGGCGATTACATCAGGCACCCAGTTCTTTACGAACTGTCGAATAAGTATGGAGTGGCTGGCAGTGACCAGGTGCCCTTGTCGGCTCGTCTCGACGTGCTACGGGAGCACATACGCCGAGAAATACGCAAGGTATGTCGAGTTTCGCTTATCCTTCGTCAATTGCAGCTTCTGCGAAGATTTTTTTTTTTTCTTTCTTTCTTCCTGTATACACAATAGCACGATCGACCCTCTGGGTCTTTTTCATTATTTCTCTCTTTTCTACACCATTCTTTTTTCTCTTCGGTAATAAAATCAGTTCAATGCGTCGTTATTATATTTCTTTTTATCTTGATACACAGAATTCTGTTTTTGCTATCTTAACGTCCTCTACTTACTTTTTATCGTCTCGATTCAATATGGATATTTCTTACGATATAATATGGATATTTCTTGTAGTAGTGCAGAAGGATTAAATGCATCTTTATATGAGAGTTAACGATGTTTGTACACTTATTTTTATAATTTTTATATTTACAATGAAAAATTATGAAAAACTTATAGATTATTCTAAACTGCATTTAAAAATAATATAAGAAGTTTAGCGGAGATTAGAACGTAGATAAAAAATTATGTGAATAAATAAGTACAAGTGTGCTCTAATGAAATTACGAAATGAAATTACGAAATACTTAAAGTATTTATATAAAAGAATTGAGATTTTTATTATTTCTTAATTACCATTTAATTATTATTTCTTAATTTTCATTAGAGCACATTTCTATTTATTAATTTAAATAATTTTTAATCCAGGTTCTAAGTCATTGCTACATTTTTTCGTGTTATTTTTAAATCTGCGGTTTAGAATAATTATTGTAAATTTTTCATAAATTTTTTCATTGTAATATAAAAATTATAAAAGTAGATGCAATACAGCCTTCAACCGGTTTCATAATCGAACGGAAATAGATTTTGCAATAGCATCTCCGATAGACAGACTCCGATCTCAAAGAGACTGTTGGACTATGAGAGTACTTATAGATGCGTGATTAAGTTCTTTTTTTCTCTCGCATATATACGTATACGTGTTTTAATATCCGGTGTAAGTATACTTGGTAATAAACGATCGATGATGTATGGTTTCCGGATGTGCCGGACGTCGCGTTCTAAATCACGTTGCGAATGGAAACTTGAGGGTGGTCCGAACATTTCTGCAACTCGCGTAGAAACGAGTTTTGCCATACGGCAAAGCGCATCTCTATCTTCTTTTCTTTCTACGTTCTCCCCCCCTCCTCCCCCCCTCCCCTTCTCGTTTCGCCTCTCGGTACTTGTTAAGCGCCTTTATGAGACGCTCGTCTAACGTTGTCTGACTGGTGCCTACCGTTAATAGATCCACTGCGAAATAAAACCGCGTGTAATAGTATATAATGCGATAGGTTTCTTAACGCCCGGCACATTTTCATAAACGCTTGTTACCAGAGCATTTTCTGCAGAGTGGTGAGTCAACTGCATCGCAGAATGGATGCGTATATAACGCTTTAGAAACCAAGATTTATCTTGGACATTTATTTCAGATGAATTATTAATTCTCGTTGAATGAATGATTTTTTTCTCCCCCCCCCCCCCCGAAGAATTATTTTTGTTTCTCTCGATATTGGCACAGTCGGACCGTCATTCCCCGTATATTGTGACGTATCCTAGATCGAAGAATGAAAATCATGTCGTATGATTCATTGCGAAAGTTTACAGCGACTATGCAACAATGCTCGATAATAGAATACAGAATGGTATATCGAAAGGTATCATTGGGCACGTGCGTGATTTTACGTCTCATTTGCTATACGGAGGAGTGGCACGATCGAGAGATAGATAGATGCGCTTTAAGCGAGATTGACCGATCATAATGAATGTGCGCAGTTAAATTTTCCGCGGAACAACGACGCCGGATTTCGAACCGGAATGGAATTTCGCACGGTTGCGCGATTTTATGAACTTTCGATGCTCTCTCTCTCTTTCAGGAGCTGAAAATTAAGGCCGGCGCGGAGAAGCTGAGGGAGGTCGCGACCGATCGCAAGTCGCTCTCGGACGTCGCGACGATCGTGAAGAAGGCAAACAGCAAGCTGAACGAGCTTCAGGCAGAGCTCCAGCAGCTCGAGAGTCAAATTATCCTGACGCAGGGCCAGCCTCAATCGCCGCAGCAGAATCACTCCAACGGTCAAGGTTGGTAATGCGAAGCCGGCGTTGTGCGATACCATCTTCGTGCTCGCCTTGTAATTCTCCGCGTAGCATTGACCGAGCGAGAATAAAGCGGTCCGCTAGCGCGCGCGCGCCTCCTAAACGGGTTTTATGTAACGCGAACATCGCGCTATTGTGTTGGACCCGATACCCGAGGACAGACGTTGGAGATGTTCGATCTCGATTATCCGCACGCGGATGGAAAACGGGTTAATACGAGTGGAGAGAAATCGACGTTTCTTGCGCTCGTCTTGCGCTCGTCTTGCGCGACAGTTTAACAAGCACTATTACACGAGTCATCGTGGCAGATAGGCAACTTTTACAAGCGCAATTACAAACGCGCTTCGGGATATTAATAAAAAAAGATGTGTCGATAAGCATCGCGCGTACCGCGCTCGTTCGAGAAACTCTTTCGCCAGGTTTCGCGAAAGCGCACACGCACCGTTAAATTCCACGGTAATTTCACGTGCATTTGCGCGCCGCGATTATTGTCGCCGGTTTTATTCATAGGTTTACGTATCGATGCATTGCGATAATAGTTAATGTTCCGGCATGCCAGCTCCCTACCGCGTTAACGACCGTTCCGTGTCGTTAACGAGGGGGCACTTAATAACTCCACCCGCTAACGAGGCGTCGAGACGACGTCTTCTCGGGTTTATAAAGCTTGTCTGAGCATGCCGAGCTAGCTGCTAGCCTTACGTCGCCATTAGCGCTGACAAATCGAGCGTATCTCTTTAACGCAGTGACGTTTCTGACTCATCGATCGATATACATATTACCGTGCATTAGGTATGTATGTATCCAAATACTCAAGTTGAATAGACAGCAGTCAATGAGATAAATATAGAGCGAAGGATGTATCAAGGATGTATCAATATTAAATCTGAATATCTAAATTCAGGAGAAGACGCAATCTATGCGACGAATGCAGCAAAGAGAATATTCAATTTCTTCATTCTTAATTGGTTTATTAGCAATGAAAAATAATACGAAAACATTTAGAAAAACAAGCATTCCAAATATATATATATATATATATATTATCGTGTATTAAATATGTATTCAAATATTCAAGTTAAAGTTATAGGCGATCAATGAGATAAATATAAAGCAAGTAATGTATTAATATTAAATCTGAATCTAAATTCAAGAGACGAAGCAATTTGTATAAATTAGCAATTAACAATTTTGTATAAATTATCGTATGATGAATGCAGCAAAAAATATTTTACTTTTTCGTTTTCGATTGATTTATTAGCAATGGAAAACAATGTATTCTAAAATAACACGCTATTAATTTCGATATTAACACCGTCGTTCTTCCGTGACATTGGGTCTACGTGCACAGTTCCGTGCTGTGTTTCGATTCAATCTAGCTTCTGTGCACGCGACGCTTAAAACAGCATTCAATTCCACAAGTTAATACCAGTTTTAACAATACGACAAAGGGGCGACGATTATCGTTTGCCTTTGCGTCTGCGTGTCGAGACTATTCCGTTCTCAATTCAAAATTTCTCTCCATGCTGTGCGATGTAAATTAGGGACGATTAACAGAATTCTTTGTAATCAGAGGTCATGGTCCTTTCGGTATTGACAGCATCATGTTTCACATTCCGCGCGTCTACGGATTTGATAATTGAAATTTAATCGTTACATTATTTTTTTTTTTCATCGCCGTTGTGTCTAACGCTCGGCGTTAATATCATTTGAACATTCTCCGAAATTGGTCGAAGAAGAAAAGTTATCCCGTTCGTACACACAGAAAAATATATACCGTATTTAAGCAAATATTAGTTGTTTTAAAAATTGTATTCGCAAATTTATCATTAAATTCATCATAACCATCAAATTTATTCAAAATATATTCAGAATCCTAGCAAATATGATACTCAAATAAATCAAATTAAATAAAAAAAATCGGTTCGCTTATCATCAAATATTCAAATTAACCAGATCTGATTCTTATCTTATTCTTTGATGATATTTTGTAATATTCTTTAGAAGAAAATAAATTCTTTTTTTGAGTACATAATAATAAGTTTTTCTAAAATTTGTAATGAGTATATTTTAAAACTATCATCGAGAAAATATATTCCTTGTAAAGATAATCGTTACTTAAAAGAAGAAACGTAAACTAATTATTATATAATTAGTTTTCTTAGCAATAGAATAATATTTTTTTGTGTGTATGTCGCATCGAGTTTGCTGATGACGGAGACTGATATGGCGGAGTTTTATATGATCGTATAACGCAATTAGGCTAATCTAGTACGTTACTCCCGGGCAAAATATCGTTTGACTCTTGAGAAGCGTTTTTCACTCTGTGTTACGAGTAGCCACTTCGTTATGCGCTGCGTGATGCGTTGTACAGAGGAACTACAGTCTTGCGCTCGTTTTGAATTGACGGAATTAAGTGGTAGCGGCTATTTATACCCTGGACCCCGAGAGACGCTCTCTATCCACTCCAGTTAAGTCAGTTATCATCGTACTCGGCCTCGAGTCAGGTCTAGCAACCTGCCTCGGGGGTGTCTCATTCAGTTTCCCTTGGCACAGGACGCGTTTTTCAATGCTTGCGATCCCGAAACTTCTGCATCAACGAAAAAATGTAGCCAATTATTTTCTTCAATTGCCATCGTTGACTCTCAGAACTTAAAAAAATATTGACCAACAAACGAAGGAGAGAATCCGTCCTTATAAATTCGCCGAGAAATAAAATTGAGAGAGATTTGTTCCCATTTCCCCCGCCCACATACCATCGCTCGCCTACGAAAGATAACGATCCTCGGGTTAGCTTAAAAATAACCGATTCGATCGATTCAGCGCTACGGTACAGTTTCGAGGAGATCGAGGAGAAAGTCGATACTCCTCTCTCTTTCTCGGTATCTCGCGAGGAGATGCGGCGAGCGCGGTGCGAGGTAGACGCCGGCGATGATGACGACGCTCGTTCACTTTCCAGCTCTGCCGAGACACGCGCTCTCATGCTGCGCGCAAACGGCGAAAACGTAAGCACACGTACAGAGCACACACATATAGAGACGCCTGTACGAGACGATCGAGAGCGCGTTACGAGAGAGGCGATCGGGATCGAGCGACCGCACGAAGTACCGTTATACGTACGTACATAGGCTCCCGAAGCTCTCCGGGCCCTGGCCCCGGCCCCGTCGCTGTATATCGAGATCGCGTTACGGCCAAACCGAACCCACGCTTTCGCATTCCATCGTCGGCGCTTTCGGGGGAGGCCCTCTCTGAGATCTTTCCTCCTTCTGCTCGCTTGTCTGCCCGCCTGCCTGCTTGCTCGCTCGCTCGCTCGTCTTGCCTGCCCGGTCGGCCGGACCCCGATCTTTGTGGACTACCTGTCCGGGCCCTTCCCTCGGGCCCGATTTAAGATCCCGCGACAGCCGAAAAATCGCATTCGCGCGCTATAGACGTAAAACTCTAGAGAAATTCTGCGAAGAAGCGATCAAAGCGAAGAGATATTTCGAGATGGCTGTGAGCTTATCTTTATGCAAAAACCGCTTGACCGAATCGTTAAGAAATGAAAGCATTTATTATAAAGACGTAAATATATTTTATGCATTGTTATAGCGATCGTATAGTTTATTCTAATTATCAGTTATCTTCCCGGTGGGGAAATCCCCGATGAATCACGATCCAGCAACACGCTCGGCGCTGCCCGGTCGCGAAAATTCCGCTAGATTTTATGAGGCGAATCGATTATAAAGCTTATTGACCGCACGATACCTCGTATGAATTTATGAAGTGCACTTTATTGAATGTGCACGTTCGTAATGCAGTAACGGTATAGGGGCCAGGCATTTACGAGTTAATAAATTTTAAGTGGCTGCATAGTTCGTAACTAAATAAGTCACTCAACATTGCCGTTCGGAGCGTCGCAAAAATCATGCAACATTAAAATTTTACGTTTAGTAAAATTAAATTTTTATATTTGCGACTGAAATATTTGTGGTTTTCCGAGAGAGAGAGAGGAGTAGTACTTCTGAATTATTCAACAGTGGCGTAATAATAGCGCAAGGATTGGTTGGTACATGTTTAATTTATCAGAATATTACACACACACACACAC